GGGGAGCAACTCGCGTAGTATTTAATTGGCGTTTAAGAGATTAATTATAAACCGTACAAATTACCAAGATAAGTGTTAATTTACACTGCTGGCCACTGTAAATGCAACACTCTGAAGGAAGCACGCAAATAACATGAAATTTACAACATGCATTAGGGGAAGTGAGATATGTAAATGATTTGAATTTCAGCGCAGACACACATCACGCACGCCTGTGGTGGCAACTCAAAGCGCTATTTAAGGCTTAGAGATTTCGACAATTTCAAGTTCGGCAATTGTGTTTTCTTGTGGTTTTTCAAAAAACGATCAGTTATGTCTCGCGACCAGCTTTTGATCAAGTACCCGAGTTTGACAGAGGAAGGATATTGGACTACCGAGATTGTGGATTATCTTTCAGGGAAATCAGTAGTCGTGTTGAACGAAACCAAACAACTGTAATACGGATATTTGATCGTTGGATGCAGGAGGGAACGGCGGACCGACGTGGTCGTTCGCATCCACCTCAATGCACCACTTCACGTGAGGACAGGCAAATTTTGTGCATGGCAGTGACGGATCGCTCAGTCACATCACGAACCATAACACAGCACATTGAGCCTGTAACGCATCATTCAGTGTCTGCGCGTACCATTCGACGCCGTTTACAGCAGAGTGGTCTGTTCGCAAGACGTCTATTGCTTGGTCAACCCTTGACGCAGAACCGCAGACGTCTCCGCTGCCAATGGTGCGATGAAAGAAGGATGTGGGCGGCAGAATGGAATGAAGTTGTCTTTACTGACGAGTCACGCATCTGTCTGCAACACCACGATGGTCGGATTCGAGTCTGGAGACACTGTGGAGAGAGTATGCTGAGCAGCTGCGTTATGCACCGCCACATTGGTCCAGCATAGGGTATTATGGTATGGGGCGGTATTGGATATCACTCTCGCACTCCTCTAGTACGCATTGCCGGTACTTTAAACAGCCAGCGCTACATCTCCGAGGTGTTGGAGCCAGTTGTCCTTCCTTACCTTCAGGGCTTGGCTACAGCCATATTTCAACAGGATAATGCGCGACCACACATGGCCCGCATTGTCCAAAGGTCTTCGTCAATCACCAGATTGAATGGCTTCCCTGGTTGGCTCGCTCTCCGGATCTTTCGCCGATAGAAAACATATGGTTCATGGTTGCTGAACGATTGACCCAGATAACACCCCCAGCCTCGACACCAGATCAACTTTGGCTACATTTGGAAGCTGCTGGGTCTGCTGTACCCCAAGAACACATCCAAAGTCTCTTTGAATCAATGCCGAGGCGTGTGGCAGCGGTGATCTCCAACAATGGCGGCTACTCTGGCTACTGATTTTGGCAGGAACCACACTTCACAGAATCTATAAATTTAATCATTTGATACTTGGTCAACATGTTATCTACTAAATAAATTTTTTTGTGCTATCTCATGTCTTTCTTGGTGTTGCATTTACGGTGGTCAGCAGTGTAAGTTTTTAATTTTATGTGACAAGCCCATGGGGGTCACTCATAATTATTCAACTTGTTCTTAACTTAGTATTGTTAAATTAATTACAAAATACATTGCGTAGTACTGATACATTTCGAAGTGTATTATATCAGTGTAAATGTGCTTTTAATTTGTTATTATGTCAGAAGGTATTTTATTTGTTTACTTTCAGCAAATTAGTGTTTTTTAAAAATAATCTTTTGTTTTCGACTTTTCAATATGCTCGCGTCTCTCTCTTAGGTTGTCACGCCCCCTAGAGTGGGTACGCCCACAGTTTGAGCAACACTGATTTAATTTCGATATATAAATATATATTAAAACTACTGCCATGTCTTGCTGATTTTAATCAACAATGTCTCAAAGTCCCCTTTCCTCGCAACATTGACTGTACTTCAGTACCTTCCATTAACAATTCTCCATTTTCCGTAATAATTTAAAAATTCAACACCCCCTCACCCTTTCAATATAATCCCCTAAATGTGCAAATACATACTTCGTTTTCATGATTTCATTTCATTAATTTTTCGGAAAGTACATTTTCGAAAACATGTTTCACTTTTGAACGATAAACAATCTTTAAAAGCTTTGTAATGGCCTCCAACAAAAAAGATTTTTCAAAAAGTTAAACATCTCCCAAGAGAAAAGGAAAATCATTCTATATATCATTTATAATAGATAACCGAGCGTGGAACAAATGGAATCAATAAAAAGTCATCCAAAAATATTCTGTTTCTTAAGTACAAAAGTGTAATTTAATAATTAGAATAGGGAGGATTAGAGAGTTAATAATGAATATGTGTATGCGCTTCCTTTTTCCATTCGGAGAACAGAGAAGCTTTTACTGGAAGTAGACGGAAAGACAAACACGTCTGGCAAGTTATGAGACTAAAAATGTTTTCGTGAAAAGTTCATTCTTTTTTTCCTAAGTTTATAAAATGTAATTAAAATGTTTAATGGATTGTGCGTTTTTACCAGTGGGATTGCTTTAGAGGTAGAAAGTTAGATTCATGAAAACCATAATGATTAATTTTGGTAACCAGAAAGCGGATTATGAAACTAAGACGAATTTCTACATTAGTATTTAAAACAATGGAAGTTTTTAAATATTTCGTCATGTTGGATGAGTGGGAAGATTTTTAACGCTGTGGTGGTTGCAGAAGCATTGTTTTGAATTCTTCAATAAAAGCTAGTAGTGAGTAGGGAGATGCTGTATACATTTCATTGTCTTTTTTGGGTTGTTTGCTTAACTAAAGAGATATTTTTAAAATCTTGAAATTACTAAGTGGATTAAAAATCGTTGCGTAAAGTTTGCTAACGCATTAATTATAAGAATCAATAGCTAGCATTGTATATACTTTTTACATTTTTCAACTCCTACAATTAGTTCACAATCTTGCTACACATACATATATATACTAGCCGTTACCCACCCGCTTAGCTGGGTACTTCATGATATTTTATAAATACATACTGTTTATATATATATATATATATATATATATATATATATATATTATTGATATTTAAGTCCTAGCATTAAGAATTCGATTGTATTGAAAAATATACTTATACTTGTAACTGTCGCCTCTTGATCAAAAAAAAAGTCCAGAACTCATCTAATTTTTATTTTCTAGAAATCTCTAAAGTTGAAGTATAGTATGACGTTTGCACTTCCGTAACCCTATAGCCAAGTGGATTCCCGCAAAACCAAATTTTCGGTGGATATTTACTCTGTAAAAAGAACATCCAAGCCAAATTTCAATTCTAAATCAAACACCAAAAAAAAACCGAAATTTTTACTAACAATACCCCCATAGTCCCATTGAGAGTCGTTTTCCAAAATAACCTTTCTCAGCGGATTTAAATTCAACAAAAGAAAAATGCAAACCAAATTTTATTGTTATAGTTCTTGTAGTTCTAAAAAAGGAATTTTTTTTGTCAGTACGCTCCAGTAACACCCTGTTCCCCCCCTCCCGGAGTTGATTTCCGTAAAATGCATTCCTAGTGGATCCCTATTCAACAAAAGAAATATGCTTAACAAATTTCAAATAGGTGGGTGTAATAATTCAAAAACAGGAATTTTATTCTATAACTCCTCTTGAGACCTCTCAACCCTTCTTGGAGTCGATTTTCGTTTTACTCTTTGTTAGAGGAACTCTATTCTATGAAAGCAACATGCCTACCAATTTTCAAGCAGGTAGATCGAATAGTTTAAAAAAGGAAATATTGAATGATTACGTCCCAAATCTCCCGAAATGAAACTTGGTGGTTGATATTCTACGCAACCCATTTTATAGCAGTTCTCTATCTACGAAAGGAATATGCTTACCAAATTTCAAGAATGTACGTCTAATAGCTTAAAAATGGGGATAATTATCTACAACGCCCTTTGGACCCCCGCAACGCCACCTAGGGGTCGATTTTCACAAAACACCTTACATAGGTGATCTTTAATCCATGAAAGGGGATTCTGATTATCATATTTCAAGATTGTACGTCAAGTAGTTTAATAGTGGAAATAATTATCTATAACACCCCTTAAACCCCGCAACGCCCATTGTTGGTCAATTTTCTTGAAACGCATTTTGTAGCGTATCTATCCTATGAGAGGAATCTGCTTACCAAATTTCAAGACTGTGCGTCTAATAGTTAAAAATCGGAATAATTATTTATATATCCCCTTAACCCCCCGCAACACCCCTTGGGGAGTCAATTTTCCCAAAACCCATTTTGTGGCGGATATTTACTCCTTGAAAGAAACATTCCTACCAATTTTCAAGCAGGTAGGTCAAGTAGTTTAAAAACGAAAATATTTATCTCTTACGACCCTTAATCCCCCGCAACGCCACTTGCTATTTTACCAAAACCTATCTTGTAGCGGATCTCTACTCTATGAAAGGAATCCATTTATAAAATTTAAAGACTGTGCGTCTAATAGTTTAAAAATGTAAATAAGTATCTGTAACGCCACGTAAGCCCCCGCAACGCCATTTGGTGGTTGATTTTCACCAAACTCACTTTGTAGCGGATCTCTACTCTATGAAAGGAATCAGCTTACCTAATTTCAAGATTGTACGTCGATTAGTTTAAAAATGAAAACAATTATTTATAACGCCCCTTAACCCCCGTATCGCCCCTTGCGGTTCAAATTCTGCAAAATCCGTTTTTGGCGGATCTCTACTCTATGAAAGGAACATGTCTACCAAATTTCATGTCTGTAGGTTGAGTAGTTCTGGAGATATCGTGATTAGTCAGTCAGTCGCTTTTCACCTTTATATGTATATATAGATACATCTTGTACAAATTTTCAAGCGTTAATACAATACTTTCTATTCATTCATTCGAATTTAAATGCATTTTTTAAACTTGTACGGGATGACACTTTATGTTAATACAGTTTTTTAAAATATTAATTCTTTAGTTAAACTTAATTAATGCATAAATGGTAACAAACAAAAATAATAGTCCAACACCAAAAATAAAAAGTAAAATCGCTCGTTGTGTTCCTGTAGCGCAATGGATAGCGCGTTGGACTTCTAATCCAAAAGTGGTGATCTTGAGTCCTATCTGGAATGGCCTAATTCCTCAGAATGTCACTTATGAATGAATAAATATTAACAAACAAAAATAATAGTCCAACACCATATATAGCAAGGAAAATCGCTTTCTATTTTGCCACTTTATATTGTAATTCTGTCATATCCATGTACATAATTTACTGTAAATGCAATTATTTTTTAAAAAAGTAAATAAAATAAAAATTTCTATGTTGACCTAAGTAGAAATTGACTTTAAATTTTTTATATTACTTGTTTTCAGTACTTACGTATTATATCATCGACCAATTTTGCCAAATCAAAGGACATCGCCAAATGAAAAAACGTCGCCAAAGACTGTCATCGTTTCCGCGCACGTTAGGAAACTTATGGACTAAACTCATGTTACGTCATTGTCACATGATAATGATATTCACGTGTTCATTTTGGGACTTTCAAGGGAGGACCTTTTTCCTCCCCCCTTCTGGTATTGGACTTCTTAAGACTCAATGATCTTTTGAGTATTGTTTGATTCCGTCAGACAGACTGAGAATTAGCCACAACAACAACGTGTTCCTAGCCAATCAGTTCAAATTCATGCGACGTCATAATCACACGATAAATACACTCACGCGCTTGCAGCCAATTAGCTAACGCTCTTCGCTGTTGCCAATATTTCATTTTCTCGTGAAAATCTTCTTATAAAAGTACAGATGTGTCAACAATAATAAAGTATGCAGGTTAACAAAATGTACTTAATTTACGTGTTCGCTGTTCACTTGTAGTACAAGAATTTTTTTTAATAAGTTTAAAACATTTTGAAGAATTTTAACACTTAAAGCACTTTTTTTACCAATTTACTTATTTGAAATTCAGCTGTCCTTCGTCCTGTGAATTCAACCCATTCCCCATATCATCATGCCCCCAGATAATTCGGTGAGATTTAGAAGAATTAAATACTTTTTGAACAAAATACGGACGCACTAAATAAACAAAAGGTAAATTAACTACATTATTCAGTATTTATGTTTTATCGCAACCTATTGGCGACATTACATGAAACAAAGCCCATGGTTGTCAATTCAGTGCATACGACACATAGAAAATCGACGTTGCCAACTTGGTCAGTTATCAATAGATTTGGCGATTGTTGCTAGAAAATACTAAGTACCCCTTATTCATGTAGCCAAACGCTGCAATTCCATTCAAAATCTTTACAAATCTTTCTTCTTCATACGCCATATACGTTCGCATAAGTAAGAGAATCTTCATATAGTCGGTACACATCCACGAAGTTTCTCGCTTTGCTGTTTTGCCCGTTAAGTAGTCTTTAGTCTTTCGAGAAAAAATACGTATTAAGCCGCATTTTCGGAAATATTCCATTGCATTCTCTTCCAAAGAAAATAGATCCAAAATTTTAATCATCCCCCCCCCCTCAACAAAATAAGAGAAGATTAATGCTAGCATTTTCGAGCATGCGCAATGAAAAATACTTTGTTTCAACGCGCTAGAACGATACAACCTACAAAAAAGATGCGTTTTTCATCAAGTATGTTCGAACAAGGCTGTTGTGCCCACGGGAACGGATTTTCTCAATTGGTTGCAGATCATCGCAGTTGGCGACGTTTTTTGATTTGATGAAACTGGTCGCGATATAATGCACAAGTACATTTTCCCCTAGTCTAAATCAAAAATTAAAATTTAAAGTTTAATTTTCTTGTTAATATAAAATTATACTTACTGGTTATAGGGATCATCATTTGGCGACTGCTTTTCGGAATTATCGCCAACACGAGCATTGACTGCATTATCGATCTACACTTGTTTGTGAGCTAAAATCCTTCTATAATTGAAGCCATGACACAGAAGTTCTTACGCCCAACAATAAATAAAGCTTTCTTTATATTTCGGTAAACAGAATTCGAGATCCAGGGGTACTTACGTATTATCATCAACTATTGACGACATTATACGAAACGAAGCACCTTATTGTCAGTTCAGCGCATTCGATACATAGGAAATCGGGGTTGCCAACTTCGCGAGTTATTAATAGAATTGGCGATTGTTGCGATAATACGTATGTACCGAACCAAGATTTGCATGACACCAATAACCAACGACATTTCTTGTTCACTTCCATTCATATGGCAAGACCTTTTCGTGAAAAAGGTTGCCATGGAAAAATTTGCATTTATTCTACTTAAACATCACAGACTTTCAAATTTTTAACACTGTACCGAAGCAGTAGATACATCTAGAATAAAACACTGAATTACTACCGCTAAACATACACTAAAATTAAAGCCTCTATTTGATGTAAGCAACTAGTATAAACAACGATATTAATAAACTGCACCTTCCCCCCGCCATTTATAATGCAGCAACATTTTTGAAGCGATAACTTCTTTAGGCGCGTTTTGCTGAAGATGGGATTTAAAAGCAGCGTCAGGATCGGGTGCGTTACTCCACTTGGGTTTTTTCGACTCTAGTCGGAAATCGTGCTCGTGCCGCTTAGTTTTGAATTGAAAACTTTTTAGGCGCGTGTTAGTCTTTTTAAGTAGAGATTCCATGCACACATTTCCAATGGTTTTATTTTCTTTCTTTAAATATAACTGTCATACAGCCCAATTCTACTCAACTTCAGCGAGTGAACAAGAGACGAGCAAGTGAAAATAATTGAAAAAAAATTGTTCCTACGTACAAGATCGATAATTAGGAGAAACGAGACATAGGAGCTATTTTTTGATTCAGTAGAAAGAGCATTTAAGCTCACAAAAATGTGCCAAAAGAATAAAAATCCGAAATTTTGTAGAAATTAATTGGCGAGAAAATTGCCAATATTTTGGCTTATATTAGTGAGCACCACTAAGATTAAGAGGAAACAAAAGTATTAATTATGAAGAAGTATGAACCCTGTCCTTTTGTTTGCTTAGAGAATTTTAAGAGAAGTAGACGGCTCTCGGGGCATAAGTTTTCCTAGCCTTACATAGTATACGGTGTTATATAAGCTATTCCAACGGTACTTGCGTATTATCGTAACGGTATTGGTGGCATTATATTAAGGGGACGGCGGACCTTTGAAATTAATTACTTAAATTGTTAGCTTAATTAGCTGAAATTGGAATTAATATAGAAAATGTTCAGTATATTTCAAAATTTAGATATTTTTTTTAATTATAATTTAATTGTTTTTTAATTTTTAATTTCTTAAACTTTTTTAAAAATGCTCCTTGCGCGTTAGTTTTTAAGATAGGCTCACAATTTTTGTTTTATATATATATGAACTATAACTAAATATATCTGTGTATGGATTTTAAATTCAAAATAAAATTTGGTGAAAAAAAGATACATTTTCTATACTGTATGAAATATTTCACCAATTATCACACATTCAAGGTAATCAAATCAGCGCAAAATGTGATCCTTTAAATTTTTAGAAAACTAATGCACAAATTTATGAATTGTATCATTTTTTTTATAACTTGTGAAAATTTCAAAGAGATGCGACGCAATATGAAACGCAAAAAGCATTTTAGGTAATAATGAAAAGAGAAAATTTACGAAAGGGGGGGGGGAGAAAAACACATTTTAGACATTTATTTGTGTGAAATGAAAAAAAATAAAGCAGAATTGTTTTACATAATTACTTATCATTACATAAAAATCAAACATACAAGAGATAATTATAGCAGAAATCTAATTAATATTTTAAAATTTACTATATTTAGTTATAAATTCAATAATTCAAGTAGGTAATATACATCCGCAAAGCTGATATTAATAAAAAAACACATAGCATGGTATAACATTCACTTAAAATTTACCAGAGAAATATGATAAACCTTCATATTTTATATTTTTGTTTTCTATTTTATTACAGATTTTTCGCTTCATAGTTCAGTTATCTTTTGCAGTTTAAAAAGTTTTATTTCTATTTTGCTTTAATCGACGATCATCTTTCATTTCACTGATTTGCATCAAGGGTAATGAAAAGTTTTGATGCACGTTTTTCAGGGTAAATAGGGATCCAAAGTTAAATTCACTTTCAGCTGTTACAACAGATATTTCCAATATTTTCTTCGATTGGAATCTTTCTTTTTGGCAGTGACCCCAGATAACACTGTGCAGACATTCAGCGCATATGACACATGAGAAGTCGGGGTTGCCAACTTGGTGAGTTTTACTGAATGTTGGTATTGTTGTGATAGTACCTAAGTACCAAAATTTTTTATAATAGTATACAGCCAAATGGCGATATTATTAACGAAAACAAAACTCTATACAACCTCCATGTACCAGGTGGGCGAAAATTCCGTAAAAACTAAAACTAAAACCCAAATATTAAACAAAATAAAAAACAGTTTGTAGGCTTAGCATCGATAAGTTTTTTTTTCAATAAGAAACCGGAATTTTTTAATAAGAAAAAAATAATTCCAAAAACAGCCGACAGATGGCATTTCGTACATAAGTGAAAGAAAAGACGCGCAAATAATAAAAATAATGTTGCGAACTCATTTATTTTTACTGCATGTGTTCCGCATGTCCACACATTGCAGGCGAGTCACAAATCCAGCAGTAGCATAGTGCAGAATGTCCAGCTGTATACATGACAGCTCTAGGGAGATCGCATCTTTCAATTTCGACAAATTGGATGGACGGGATCGATATACCCGGGCTTTTAAATATCCTCACAGCTAAAAGTCTGCTGGTGTCAGATCTGGAAACCGAGGAGGTGATGGAAACTTGTAACGTTTGGTAATGATTACCCCCCCCCCCGAACATATTTACAAGAACTTTCAAGATAATAACAAGATAACAATAATCAAACAATCTTGATCTTGTTTCAAACAAGATAACAAGATAACTTTCTGCTGTTATCCTTGACTGGATAACAGCAGAAAGTGCATCTTTTTCGCCCCAACATGGAACACCCTTTTCCCGTAGAAGCGTTAAATAACGTTGAACATTTATGGTCACCGAATTTACTGGACGCTTGTTTTCAAAGAGGGTCCTGTGATTAAGTAATCTGTGACCCCTTA